TAAACGTTAAGCGTGACGTAATCAATTCAACTTTCGAATTTCAAACTTATCTTAGACGATGGAGAATTGAATAAACTTTATATTCAATTGATAATTTCATGCGTAATGTGTATTTTAAAATGAAAAACTAAAAAAAACTAATCGAGTGTTGCGTTTCTAAAGTCCTCGCTCTCTTTTGTATAACATTCTAATTACGTGTATTCATACAATTCATTAAACTTTGAAGTAAATAATTACTGCAATCAATTCACATCGTAATCTGCCTTTTTTTCTTCTTAAATTTTATGATTATGTGAGTATTTAGATAAGCGAGTCTGCCAAGGGCAGATTGTTCCACATGCCAATAGCGATTAATTCGTTTTTGAAATGCTATTTATGAAATTTGCGGAAGGAATATTGTAACAGAACTGACGTCCGTCCGCTAGAGTTTGTGTTTCTCAACCGATTTTCAATTCACTTGATGAACACATTCAATTATGGAGGGGTAAAATCCTATTTGTTTAAAGGTCAAAGGAAAAGGCCACATCGATAATTTAGTTACGAGGGACTACTCCGCTTGAAGAGACCATGTATAAGTTGAGATGTTTCCTTAATGATCTGGAAACATTACCGGCACCATTTTTTTTCTGCGCTACATTTTTTTTCACTTTTGGGGTTGGGGATGGTGGTCTTTAAGCAAATTGAGACCATGCTGTAACTATAACTGTTTTATATGTTGCATTGTTTGATTTTTTTTTTTATCCTAGTGCGGAAGTCATAAAAATAGCAAGAAAACGAAAAAAAAACTTACGATTTGAATCTGAATCTGAACCAAAAGAGACATCAAGGGCCTTTAAAAATCTTGATATCTAATTTGTTATGAATTTATTGTACTCCAGCTGAATCTCGCAATAAGATTCATTTGTGGGCATTTGTGTCAGATTCCTCTGGTCAGCTACGACACCTGGTTGCCGGGGAGCAGGTCTAGCGACGACACAGTAAACCGGATAATTTAAAGAGAAATAGTCGAAATTTAAATTGCATTGTCGCTGAATGTCGATTTCAAGTTGAACATCAAACTGGCGAATTGAATAGAAATAAAGTAAAGAGTACCATTGAAGCATCCGAAGCCAAAATTAACAGACATTGTAGAAACATGTACCGCCCAAGTCAACAGACATAAAACGTTGATTAATTAAACATCTACTTCAAACATACAGGTTTATTTTCATTTTTTTTTTCATTTTCCATCTCGACGTCTAAAAGAAATCAAACATTGAAGTCCTTCATTTTCTTTACAGTCAATTCACAAATAAGTTTGTTTTTATAACCAAATACTTCATAAACAAAATAAGGTACGGTACACAACAATTGCTGTTATACACGTCATGTTGGTTAGTTGTCTAATTTCCAATAAAAATAATCATATGCGATCAATAACATTTTTTACAGTTTTATTTTTGAGACGACCTTCAAATCACACCTGTCGTAGTCTTCCTCAACTATAGGTGTTGACAATTGTTAAAAAGGACTAATGGTGAAGTTCAATTTCAAAAGATAAGAAAAACTAAAAGTTTGCACTAAATCCTTCTCTTTCTTTAAATATGAAGAAAAGGAGAAAGCAGTTGCATATAATAAACAGTTGATTTATCAATTGATTGTTGGTGTATAGCTACTTTCAGCTTTCTTGTCTATACTTTTCGTTACGTCAAGTTAAATACGCAACACACATTTTGTTGATTTTTTTTAACCAAATCATGATAGATCCTCAAATAACTACTATTCATGCTTACCATACTTTATCTGTTTAGAAAAATTCAATATCTGACTTCCCTAAGGTTATTCAACATACCGGATTATTGAAGTCGCACACATTTCTCAAAACGAAATTTGAAACCCGTAAATGATTTTTTTAAGGTTTTTTCTTCGTGAAACAATTCTTTCCATCCATACCCACACTTCAATCAGTCAAAAATGTTGCATCTCGATATTGCCGAGACTGAGCAACTCAAATCTGATTCAGCCTATAAGAGTATTGCAGGCAGGAACACATTAATGTGTTGTAACCAGACAATTTGTCGTCAGAAACTCGTCTAACTGTTCTTCCAACAACGACACAAGTAGACGAAATTTGTTGATGACTATCAATGACCAGATCAATATCAAATGACAACGCCACGTCAATAGATTTTGATTACGTAACGTCATTTGCAAGACATGTTTATGGCCGCAACGTCAACTGCTAATCAAATCGCCAATTGCCATGGCAGACAAATTCATGCCAAAAATGTTTCCCATTAACTGAAATGCCAAAGAATCAACTACAGAAAAACATTTGAAGCCTTAAAGGTTAAACCGCATAATTGCTAAAACACATTGAAATAGGTGGTACAAGGATAAAATAAGAAGGTACAAAACGGAACTCAAAACATGCCCAACAGAATTGGTTGACCATTCTGACAATCATTTTGGCCTTGGTTACAGGAAGTCATTGTATTCGACGGTGACTCATCCATTGATAAGGGGGAAACCAGGGTTTCAGTGCATACCACATGATTTGAACATAAAAAATGACATAATTAATTAAACTTCCGAACTGTAAGATTCTTTTAAACAAAGAAGTAATGAATGAAATTTATGTTCATACAAGTGTTTTACAAAAATTGCATATTTGAAATTGGGAATTAAAAAAAATAATCTAGTGTTGCGTTTCTAAAATCGGTCAGTATATTAGTGGAAGGAGCTGGAGTCTACGGAGACAACCGATAACCTTCTAAGGAAAACTGACACTCCCTGTCAATCAAGATTGGAGTCGAACATATCTGCAACGTGCGGCATTCGAACTCACAACCTAAGTGTTGTCATGCAAGTGGTACTGTCGATGAACTACTAAGACAATTCGGCCGCGATAGGATATACTTACTACAAAAGCAATCGTAAAATAGATTTAGAGATCAACATAAACTTTAGAAGGATAGACAAGGGTCAATGCTGCTATGTTGAAATATCTTATGATGGTTGAACACTTTAACACAGACTATCAGAGATGTACCCTCGATATCAAATTTCATAAACAGACTAAAGCTTGCATAAAGGCAAGTTTCTTAAATGGTATATATTGTTTCTATATTTATCTGTTTCCCAAATCTTCACCTCCTTTTTGGAATTTTTGTTATTTAATCTTCAATTTCGTATTTCATTTGGCCTTTCAACTATTTTGATTCGGGTGCCAATGATAAGTCTGATGTAGACGAAAAGCGCTTTTGGTATCTTAGATTAGTTTCCATTGTTCTACTTGTGTTTCGATGTTATGTTGTATATTTTTAATTCCTAATCTTGTTTGTGTACTATAATCTGTTGCACGACTTACCCTTACGGTAGCTTTATTATTGACCTAATTTTCCTGTTGTTTTAAACTAATTACATGTATTGCAGCTTGTTATAATATTTTTACTCATATTTGCAAATTTGACCATGTTCTAGATCACGCTTTTATGTTACATAATCATGATGTTAACCATTCTTACACTCTCAGTGTTATAGGATAAACGTGTGTTTATTAAGCACATTTTGTTCACTCATGATTAGTTTTGTGTAACACGGAGTTTATCTCAGTGATTTTGATGATATGGATATATGTAACATTTACATGATTGTTGAAAGCTGTGAGACACCTTAATATTGATGAATAGTACATAGACCATATACCGGAATACGAAAAGGGAAATTGGTTCTTTATAACCAATAGGTAATTTGCATCGCAACCATGTAACTGGCAACGAAATTCTACAGAATTTTGTACAAATAATTCTAAACGATACTAAAAACTTACAGTTTTATTAGATTGCGAGTAGTTAAGGTTAAAAAAAAAGTATTTGTTTAAGTTTTTAAAAATTTTAAAATCTTAAACCTTTGAAACTTTCACTCTTTGGAATAATAAAGTGTGTTCCATTCAAATTCATACTTCTTCTTACATGTTGACAAAAATATATAACACTCAACAATATACCAAACACATAGCCTTTTTCAACCCATTGGCTTGCCCCCCCCGGGGTGACTAGGGAATAGAAGTATGGTCACCATTGGTCTTCCTCCAACCGGCAGTAAAACCCTTGCTAAAGTGGGGCGTCCGTTTGGCTGTGCGGGATGTACAAATTTGCAGCCACGTCCGGTCAGAATGGGGACGTTAAATCCGATGCCTCGTGTGAAGAGAGTGCCACGCTCTCTGCACGTTAAGAACCCTTGCAACAACTCTTTGAGGGGTCCGTAGGTGACCTGTTGCAAGGCTAAATGTCTGTCCCTATCCAATATATCCTCATTTCCCGTGACAGTCTAAATTTATCCGACCTTAATCTCGGAAGCCCCTATTACAGAACCTACCCATTGTATTTATTGTTAATTTGTTCTCGACCTGAATATGCATGACATATTTGCCACTGGACGTTAAGCAACCAACAATCAATCAATCAATCCCATTGGCTTGCAATTTCATCTACTACACGACGAAGGTATGATAAAATAGAAATACAGTTGGTGGTTTAAAATCAAGATTGTTCCGATCGATCGTGTTTATCTGGCAATCCGATCATACTTATTTTTGAATTAACAATGCAGTAATGAAAACAAAATAATTTCTAAAAAACAAAAATGCACACATTGTGTCAAGTTTGACTGTGAACTATTGCTCACAACTGATACCCCTGTCCTCGCTAAAGAAGAACCTGATGAGTATATTGAAGGATATAAAAACACATCACGAAGTATAAAATGCCAACATGAAGATTGATTCTAAATTTTAGAAAGTCTCAGTGAATGTAATTGTTTCTTTTCTGAAGTCAATAAAATCACATATTTGCCTCATCAACATTCAATAATTGTATAATAACCCTTTTTTTGGAGCGGCAGTATAGAAATAATAATACCCTTGCTCATTGATCTTACTCAAATGTCGTGTGTAATATTTCGTCAAAGCTGTTCAAGAGCTCGTTCGGCTTTAGTCGATTATTTTAACAGCACATTTGTTCACATGAATTTATTCAACAACACTTAAATTACAAATAAATACATGATATGGACAACAAGATGAAAACAAAATATGCTAATTTTGATTTTATTTTTTTCATCTCCATTGTGAATTGTTAGTCACTGTTTCATTTGAGCGCTAACATCAGTGCCAATATTGTTCCATACGTAAAAACACTCACAAATGTTCCTGAAATTAAAAAGTTTTACAAAATGAAAACATTTTTGATTCATATTAAAGCGTAGAAATATGTTGTAATCATAACTAAGTTCGCATTGAATTTGGCATTAGTGTGATAGGAAGTAATCAAGTCCTTAAAAAATGTTTGTTGAAAAAGGTAAAGTCAATTTACTGCCTACACTTCATGAGCTCCTACGCTCACACCATTTTTGGAGCAGGATTTAAATTAGCCTCGGGGACAATGGCTATTAAAAAATAAACGAAAAAAAAAAAACACTTCTGTTGCTTAAATAGTATGAATCAACATGTGTATTTAAATCAATTTTAACATGTCTAAATAGTATTATCTTCCAACAGGAATAATACATTTATATAAAGAGGAATTTCTACCAACCTGAAATATATCATTAAAATTGGCTAAAACGTGGAATTACACTACTGCACAGAAATACGTTTAATACATGTTGTTTTATTCTCTCTCTGTATTAACGTAAGCAATATATGCAATTGAATGCTATTTTACCTTAAGGTTGGTAATAAGATAACATTATTTTGTAACTATTATTAATGCTATCCAAAAATGAAGTCTGCTTTTCATTTACCTGTATTTGTGTCAAATTAACGAAGTTACGTGGTTTCATGATTATAACAAGGCAATTGAATGTGACAGGTATTTTCTTTGCATATTCGTTGCAATGAGATATGAATGAACTATCTTTAAATAGATTACTTTGAATGGGTAAATGAAATACCTGAACAACCGCTTGTGTCCATTCTATTGTCAACAACAGTGAAAGAAGTTGACACAGATTCCTTTAGGTAACCATTCTCCGATTGTACGCCGGCATTTCTTTTTCTTCTACTGCTTACAGTGGGTTTAACATTAACGCATGGCTAAATTTCATAAATAAAGAAAAAACAAGCTGAGACAAAAGAAACAAAAGATTAAATCTAATATTACAACTCTAGGAATGGTATCTACAGAACACATTCCCGTATATATAAACCTTACAGCTGGTGTCGCATTGCCGTAAACCTGAAATACGAGAAAACAATTACTGAATTACAGGCTCCTGACTTGGGTCAAAAACATACAAAATGCAAAGCCCAACTTTTCAACTAACCTGGACACCTGGGACAGTGGTGAAAAAGCACAAGATAAGAACCAACTATAACAATCAATTGTAAAAGCCTTGCGTTTTGCTGTATAGTTGTTTCCTTCTTGACCCTTTGGTTTTAGTGGAAACTTGTCTCAATGGGATTCATGTCATATCACCTTATTGATACTGGTTACATGAAAATGTACTTTGATTACGTGTGGTTGACGATATATTTCGTTCTAGAAAACGAACAATTAAAACCTCAACAACAAATGAATCTGTGAGTTACTGCTCACTAATGATTCCCCCGCCCGCTAAAAGTATAAGGTAAACATGAAGTTGTTGAGTGATGAATCTGAATTTTGATTTTGTGATTTTGGAATACAGGTTATCCGCTGCTACGCTGGAGAACGTTGGGTCCTTCTAAACCAAAATATCAGTAACAGAACTACCTTGCAAACATGTTTAACGTCCACATTAATTTTGCTAAAGTAATAGGTTTCAGGGTGCATGTATCATCTGAGAATTTAACGATTATAAATTAAAAAAAAGTTTGATACACGTCGGTATCTGTCAATTAAGACACATCCTGACAATATTTTCTAATCTGATCAAGATCTAGTTCTTCTTAACCAAGGGATGTGGGATGATATAATCACAGATATTATAATTATGGGGAAAACAAACATTGATTCTGCTTTGAAAATAAATGTCTTATACAAAAAACAACATTTTTAGAAAGCTGACACAAATGTCATAGTTATACATGTTATAGTACATTTCTTGCTTTAATTAAACATGATACCGTTTAGAAATTTCTAATAGTTGAAATTGAAATAAAAACATATAAAAGATATAACTAGAGGCTCCAAAGAACCTATGTTGCTAAACAAGGTGTATCTGCATAATCAAAGATGGACTCTCTCCAACATTGTAGACAAGAATAGAGTTCATGACAAAAAATTCTTTTTTTTATCTTGTCTTGCAGAATCATTTTGTCTGTTTAGTTTCTTTCTATCTTCTTTAGTGTTTGCTCAAAACACAAAAGAGGTTAAGAATTCCTCATTTAAGGGCAATCACTCTTGTAGAGTGACAGTCTACTAACTATATGGAAAAAAATGACTTGTTAGTGGATCTTGCCTTGTTGATCATTTTTGTTATTCAAAGTTTCTAGTTATCTATTATAATTTTTATCATATAAAGCAAAATGCAAAAAAAAAAAAAAAAAACAAATGTAAAAATCGTCACTTAAGGACAATACCTCCAATTAAGAGTTGTCGGAAAATTTCCTCCATTTGGTCTTAAATTAAGCTATTGTCTTATTGATCGGTTTTGCATATTTAAGTCTCTATCTATCTATTAAAATGTTTAAAATATAGGCAAATACGCAAACAATTATTAAAAAACTGTCATCAAATGACAATAACTCTTATTAGGAGTCGACTGTCGATTTCAACCAAGTCATACTAATTCGTAGATTTTATCTTGCAGATAATTTTTGCAACTTCAAGTTTTTTGCAACTTAAAGTTTCTCTCCATCTATTATAGTTTTCAAGATAAAAGGCAAAAATGAAAATAAAAGGTAAAATTTGTCGTTTAAGGGTAATAGCTCATATAAAAAGTCGCCTGACAGTTTTGACGTCAATGAACAATTGGTAGAGCTCAACATTCTGAACATTTATGCCCTTGACAGATTTTCTCTATATCAGTTTTCACAAAAATCGACAAAACTTACATTTTACCCCTATGTTCTATATCTAGCCACATCAGCCATCTTGGATGGTGTCAAGGTCATTAGACACACGTTTTTAAACGAAATGCCCGAATAATGATAGCGGTCAAGTTTGGTTAAATTTGAAACAATAGTTTCAGAGGAAAATATATTTTTGTAAAAGTTACAGACGACGGACGACGACAGACGCCGAACGCCAAGTGATTAGAAAGGATTAAAATGACCGATCTTTCAAAACACTTGTACTTTGATCATCTTGATATTTACGCTAACTTGTTTGACTTCTGTTATTGACCGGTTACCTATGAAACCAAAAGTACTAGAAGGAAACGGTCGTCTTCTCTGTCTGTGTATGTTAAAATTGAGCCAGGTGAGCTAAAATGTGAAATTCTTAATTCAAATAAACATAATTTAAGGTAACCTACTTTTAGAGAGCATTGCACCCCTTTTGGACAAAACAAGGCAGAACATGTTACCACCACTGTGTTTGATTTCACAAAACGAAAACCATACATTGATATCGAAACAATATTAGGAATTGTTTTGTTGTGTTTCCAGTCATTTTCGATCACAGCTGTATCCTTTGAAGAACATGAATCGCTGAAAGAAAAAAAAGTATCTGTCTTTGTTGTTGTTCAGCGATTATTTTATCTTAGCAGGTAAATGAAAGTAAATCAATCATAAATGAAAATTCACAGAAACCTTCGTTTGAAATTATAATAAAAACTATTATTTTTATTTGCTCAGTCAAATCTTCTGTAAATATAAGAAATCTTCCCATAAGTAAAAAAATGTTTTTAATATATGTATGGTAAATATCTTTGGTCATTTTCTTTTAAATATACATAAATCGCTATGCATTTACGCACTTAATTGCATTAGTTTGCATCTTCCAGATAAAGAAAGGAAAGGCACCATTTGAACAATATGTTTTGAGCCTTAGTAAGCCCTATACATTGACGTACTATTGTACCATTGTCACATTTCTAATGTTTATAAAACTATTTGACAATGAGCAAAGGTTTAAACATCAAATCCTTTGATTTACAGGGTAATTGCATTGAAAAATTAAAGAATACATGACAGAAACTTACTTTGTCCACAGAACGTAATCTTTATCCAAAGACGAGGAAGCAGTACAATTAATAGGTTCAATTGTATAATCAGCTATAAAATAAAAAAAAAAATGTTCTACGTTATTCGCGGAGGATTGTGCATCTTACGTAGATGCATTTAGACGACCATTGTTTTCACTTCATCTTCGCCAGACACGGGTTACGTAAATTTATAATCACAATATTGTGTCGATTGGCAAATATTTGTAAACGGTCGATTTTGTTCCTATATGTCGATATTCATAACATATATGTATTTGATACACGTGTAAAACGTGATAAGGTAAAATTGTTCTATGTTGACTGATTCACAGACTCGATGACTTACATGTTGAAATACTAATGTTTGTAAATTATGAATATATATATAAATATATATATTTTTCTAAATTGTATTATGACTTCCCGTCAAACTGAAATTAATATAATGCATATTTTCAATCATAACTTATTTTTATCGTTGTGAAAATTAATTTCAGCCTCACGAGATACTGGCAATCTATATTCAGGTTGAATGCGTCTTTACTAGAGACACCTAACTACATGTAACGTGGAAGATAATTTTTTGATATATACTATGTTAAGTGTGTGTATGTCGTTGGTTTGCTGTCTTTTTGACTTATACCTAAAATTTCTCTTTGAATTTGACATCATTAATCTTTACCAGATTGACCTAAGACTCGTGTGTGGTTAAGTTATACATTAAGTATTTCTAAGTGGTCTTCTGATTAGCAATACTTTGTAACATTATGACAATTTAAGTAATGAAAATAGCTTTTTGCGTCATTTTGTTTACTAAATTATAACAAATTATTATAATGAACTTTAATATAAAATAATATGTGATTGAACTATATAAAAAATTATTTCATCACAGGTTTCTGATGAAAATAGGATAGGACATTTTGCAATATTTCAGATTTTCTCAAAATATGTTGCAATTATATTATTGATCGATATTTGAGTCGGCATTTACAATTTGCAATACAATATGCTACCTGGTCCAGTTATTTTTAACAATAATGGATCGCCAATGTGAACTGTTGTTGCCGGGGTCCCATTTTTGTCTGTAATGACCAGCTTGATGGTTTTGGTTGGTTCAGTAGGTTTCTTGATTTCTTGGCTAAAATCTGTTGGTGCTGGACTAAAAAATATCATGTAATGTGCATTGTAATTCTTCTCTTGTTCAGTTATCAAATCTATGCACGAAAAAGAAGAGCATGTTTACACTACTAGCAAGTTTTCCTAGATTTGTATTACAAAACTATCTTGTGTCTTTCGCTTTAAAAAAAACCCATATACCATGGTTTATGCATTATTTCAGTTTGTGCATGCATATCGATAGTTTTGGTTGAACTATACATTTAGGCACTAACGGGGGTGGGATTTAACTGACACCACTCCGTTACATACAAACATATGCAAGTTTTAAGACAATTTCCGATATTACATTTTAAACATACTTTTTTTTTACTCGACAAATACGATTTACGTTAAAATGACATTGTATCGCATTTAATTCTACAGAACCCACTTATCTCATATGTTTCTAAACTATCTCGAACTGATTTCGACATTGATATGGAATAATTTAATATTTTTCCATAAGTAATTCTCAATTTGTGATGATTTACTAGTACAACACTATTGACTGTGACGATAAAATCCAGAAGAGTTTGTCATTATCATAGAAAGGAGTAAAGCCAGCGACACCATTAAACCGCCATGTGAAGATATATTTTTCAAACTCGATTTTGTTAGTAAATCTACTGTGTAAATATTTTTAAATGTGTTGTTTTTGAAAGTATAATAAGAAACATTAAAGTCTTAAGTATAATGTGATGTAAGGTCTTTTGCATTGAAACGACTTCTCATCAACACATAAATGCAATAAATGATATTCGGAAATCTGTATACATTCGCCAACCAACACACAAGAGTGTATTGCGTGTAAAGAGTCCAAAAAGATATAAGAAGATGTGGTATGAGTGCCAATGAGACAACTCTCCATCCAAGTCAAAATTTATAAAAGTAAACCATTATAGGTCACAGTACGATGTTAGCAAATTTTACAAGTAAAGATCATACATCAACACACAATTCTATATTCGAAAAACACTTTTGAAATGATAATAAACAAAAAAAAAGGAAGTGAAAGAAATACTAACTAACACAGGCAAAAGAAGGCATGCCGGAGAATGCCAGAAATATTAATCTTCAACATACTATTTACGAATCACTCAACGAGCTGTTGCATACCCTTCAACAGCAACTGGGATAACTAACCCCAGGTGCTTGTTTGGTTCGTATTAATCGGTTTTTTAAAATTAGTTTGTTTTCGTGTCGTGTTTTTATGACTGTTTGTCTTTCGTCTTTTTAATTTGCAATTGTATGGTCTGTATTTTCTTTGACATGATTTTTTATTATCACTTAAAAATCGTCTGTCTCTATTTTACTCAACTATTTAAAATTGAAAAAAAATTAAATAAAAATTTTAAATTTTACACAAACTAACGACAGAAAGATTATAACTTTTATGATATTTTTTTTTCTTACATTGCTATCTGCATACTCGTGTTAGCTGATGCTACAAATGCACCGGCGGTTTTACATTCCAGTTGATAAAAATGTGCATTCTTTCCACCAGCTATATTTGAACTGCTTTCGCCCTGCACATGTAGTACATTAAGTTTTGTCTTATTCTAATAAAAATAGAAAAATATTTATATGATAAAAATATGCACATCTTAGATGCAAGATTTGTTTTATTTGTTGTTATTGACTTTGAACTAGCTATCAGTAACTGCGAGTACTCTCATATTTGTACTTCGTGCCTTTTTGTTGTTGTTTAGATGTATAAGTACCCTGCCACGTCTACTCTTTTGTTAGCAGTACTTCCGCTTTTCATCAAACTGATGAATTAAGCCCTTTTCAACTAATCTTTATAGTATGTTCTCATGTTGTAATGTTACACCACTGTCCGGAGTTAGGGAGAGTTGGCGTGCCTTCAGACTAGCTTATTCCCGCCACATTCTGTTGCTGTATATCATATTTGTCTTTCGTTCATTATTTTGTACACACATCAGACCGATAGATTTCTAGTTTGAAGTGTTTTACATTTTGTCATTTCGGGGCCTTTATTTGCTGACTATGCGGTATGGGTTTAACTCATTGTTAAGGCTGTACGGTGACCTATATTTATTTATTTCTGTGTTATTTGTTCTCTTGTGAAGAGTTGACTCATCGGCAATCAAACCATGATATATTTTTATATATCAAATTGTCTCAGTAGTTAACATTTGATGAAGGAACCGACCAAATTTCAACGAAAGGAAAGTATACGAAAGGGAGCAAATAGTCTTGATAGTAATAAATAAGGTTATGAAGTAACATAATGGATGCACAAACTCTTCTTTAGTTTTGGTACAAAGATACCTTTTACCTCATTTTACATTACTTTGATTGAATTTGTCTCTAATGCAAACCGTAGGCGTTATATATTCAGACTGTGGTTGAATTGTTATGTTGCTGTCATGAAATTATATTGGAATAACGTATCGATTCTTGAAACAACTTCTGATTGGTGCACTCCTTCTCATTTTATCATTTGGATAAAACAAATGATGTGCTGTGGTATAATTGCCAACGAGACACTTATTCACCATAGTTAAAAAGGCCATCGTACGGCCTTCAGCAATGAGAAAAACCAACAGTGTGGTTCGCTTTAACAGGTCGGGAACACTACCTTATATGGATATGCATAAATTAGCATACTTATATCCTCGCACATGTAATTGTTTATCTACGTATGACGAATTTTTTTTACCTTGGGTTTTTGACCAATCCACAAAATGAGTAACAATGCATGATGGACTACAACGTGTTTACAATCAACCGAGAACACGTGTTATTTACTGAAATACGACACATTTTTTTATGCATTGCGGGATTAACAATTTTGCTTAGATTTTCACTTTTTGTATCCACATTTATACACATGTAGTTCGTGATTTAAAGTATTCGTTTCATGCTCAGATTAAGACGAAGAGTTGTTTCTATGCGAAGAAACGAGTGTTTGAATTACCCGAAACATAGCCATTAATATGATTGATGATGACCCGGAGATTCAGGTATTCCTCTACAAGAAACAACAGTGAAAACACATTTAGCCATAAGACAAACTTACTAGTGTGAAGCTAGCCGTCAAAATATTCTTGAGGCCAGCAACTTTCATTTAGATAGTTACAAAAATAAAGGATCATTGAATTTTGTGTTCTTTAAAAGGGGAAGACTTAGAGTGTGTCAAATATCTGATGGGGTCACTAAAATATCACAGCTTTTCATAAAATTGATGTTATGATATTGTACCTTCTTTTACGATTAAAAAATCATTTAAATCGAGGAAGGGAATGTATTTATTAATTTGTGGTAAAGAAATAAAGCATATGTAATCATCAATCGGGGCCATTTACATGTATAGCTGACTATAGAGTATGGGTTTTTCTCATTGTTGAGGGTATTACGGTTGCCATCCACTTCATTTTAACTTTGGTGGATAGTTGTCTCATTTGCAATAATACCACATCTTCTTATTTTTATATGCAAACACCTTTCAGAAAGATTGGTATTCCATTATGAGATATTTACTGTAAAATACTGTGTAATATTTGTATATTTAGAATTTGACAGGTACAGAACATGTATAAAACTACATCATCTATCATAATTCGACAAAACTGCTTGAGACATTTTCTTAATTCTTGTTTGACATTGTTAACAAAATCTATAAGACAGTATTGATTTTTTAGCGTATTTCAGTCTTTTTGACTTTTTTCTACTTCAAACTGTTCCTTTTGTTCTGAAAGTAATGAATCAATATTTTCCTCAATCATTGCAAGCAACTGTAGCTTCGTTTTGTTTTCGTCTTTGCAAATTCGTTTTCATCTAATGTAATTATTGGAATTTTTGATATTTTTAACGGACTCGGATATTTGCCAATCTTAATAAAATAATTTATGATGCTATCCATGTGTATGTGCTACAAGGAGGTTCACGTTGATGTGTTTTGTGAAAAATGCAGCGTTGGATCTAAACCTATTATATTTCTCTTATTTATTGGATAATTTTTCTTCCCGTTTAGTATATAAATTAGGCCGCTGTTTTTTCGAATTTGAATTGTTTTACACTAGTCATGTTTGGTCCTTTTATAGCTTACTTTACAGCGTTGATTCTATGATTGTTTACTTTATTGAGTCTTTACTAGATGGTGTCTTGAATGGAGAGATGTCTCATTTGGAACTCATTCCTCATCCTCTTATTTCTATATACAAAGCACGATTTAGCAAACCGAAATGGGCAACATGGCACCAATTATGATCCAAAGGATTTAAATGACTGAAGATATTGCACATGAGTCAATAGGACAGCAGCCGAACGATACACATATCTCTTAGGTATTTTTAGGATAAAATTAGCAACAGACGGACTACATCGATAGATGTGTTAAGCTATTTACCGCCCCCGCTTTTTCTAACACTTTTTTTTTAGAATACTGAGTACCGGTATTATGATGTACTCACTATTAGATCAGGTCCTGATAAAAAGTTTACACATCCAGTGCAGATTAGTCTGCTTCTGTCGTTACATACATATTGCCGGGCAGCCTGTAACGCCACGACAACATGCTTGAAATTAAGCAGTGTTTCAGAGCAGTTCTTTGTGTTTTTCGAAGCAGCAATGTTTTTTAATGGCATTATACAGGTTTAAAAGAGCTCAAATGATTTGTATACTCGACATTGATCACTTCATTGGAAATTGTACTGTTTCACGCCGTGAAAGTAATGCACAGGTACAATGAATAACAATGAACAAAACCTGTTCAACTACTTTTACAAGGCGAAAAAAAAGTCGAACCGTGAAGCCAGTGAACAATATTTTTTAATCTGAGCATGGAAATTAAAGATTATGTTATATATTTTACATTAAACACATTCGCTGAACAAAAACATTTATTATGAGAGTCCCAGACACTATATTAGTTGACAGTTTTTTTCACTAAATCCACGTGTTTTTAAGTGGTAGAAGCCCATAATGCATTTTAGTTCGTTAAGTCGATTGGTCAGTTTTTCAAGGCCATGTTTGCCTTCAATTTAGGAAATTACTATGCAAATATATTCTGACGTCAGGAAATCTAGAGTTTCCGACCCGTTTAAAAGGCCTGACATAAACAAAGCAAAATAATTCAAACAAAAAAAAAACTAATGCACTAATTTATAACAAAACAATTTACAAATTACAAATATGAAAGAAAAAACCAACGACAACCACCGTACTACAGGCCCCTGACTTGGGACCGGCACACAAAGAATGTGACGAGGTTAAACATATTGGTTCGCTCTCAACCCTCCCCAAAACTAGAATTACGAAGCTTACTTTCTAATTTGAATATTTTCAGACCGCCTTTACCTAGCTCATCAACGGGACTTCTAATATCGAAAGTGAAACAATTTTTATATGCAGTTGTTTTTCTTCTGCAGGTCCAATTACTTTTATTTAGTGCCGTTTCAAAATATTAAAATATTAAAATCTTATTTTTGCATCAAATTGAATATAAAAAAGGAAGTCCGTACCTTGTGCTCGTGATGCAGCTGTTTGTGTTTAATTTAACCTCACTTTGACCATACAGTCGAAAAAGTTTTACCCTCAAGATCCAAGGCAATCGAAAGTAATTTGATTTGACTCGTTCTAACACTTAGAAAGTTGTTCCTTGACAAAATTAAAATTGACAAAATTAAATGGATTTATACCATTACTAATGTCTACAGGTTTTTGTCTTACTCTAGTCTCATAAAGGACATTCAACTATTCAACATTTTGTTTTGCTGTAAATGTCATTTTCTTACCTTCCAGTCACAATTTGCTTCATTTAAGTGACAATAGTTAGAACCATTAAGGAGCACAACATCCCCCTTATCCACGCCCGATATGTCTGTGATAAAACCGTTAGCTGCACATTCTGAAAAACCAAATCATATATTTATCTGAAATGTTTGAATAATTAAAAAGATCACACCAGTACGTATTTAAACGGGCAATATCACGGAAATTTATGAAATTTTAAATTCAACTAGAACACGTGAAGCTGCATATAAAAGTATATAAATAACTTTCCTTCTTTCCGAGATAAAGCAAACAGAATAAGTTAATTCAGCAGTTTTTGCGATAGTTCTATTCTTCCCCAAATTGCCATGCGATAGGTTTTGCAAATAACTCGCATTTAGAATTTTCATTACATCATTTGTATGAAGCATTTCCTACAATCATACATGTAATAATCAATCTCTAATTCTTGTCCATTGTTCAATAATCGGAATAATAAATGCTCGCAAAAATATCTGATTTAACAATATTCTGTAGAAAAAAAGTACATACATGTATGAAAAGGATACACGTACATAAATGTATCACAAGAACTATCAAAATTTCAGTAACAATAACGCATCATTTTAAAGAGATTTTGAAGTCCAGGATTTCGATAAAAAGTAACTCAAAGGTCAACATTGACGATTTTCATATGCAGTCCATCAACCAATTTATCGTACTCTAGTTGCACGAAGGTTTCATAGCAATTCATGAGATGGCGTATTTACGTAAATTTTAAAACTGAGTCTAATAATTTATTTCATGATCAGGGATACATGCTTAACGGACGAACATATAAGATATGATTGTTCGTGTATTTGTTAGAAGTTTCATCTATATGTGCTCACCACATCTTCTAATTTTATGTATACTCTGGTCTGAAATAGCATGAAGTTATCTGTTTGTTGTGAAATTAATGTTATTGGTTTGCTTGTTCTAAAATTCCAACGAAAATAATTCTATTTTGGTCGGTATTTCATTTTAACGATAACGCTTGTTTGTATATAGTCTCCAGAGAAATTTTGAATATTAATCAATAAGCTCGCCAAGTATCTTTTTCCTGATTCGACCCCAAAGGAGAAGGTAATATGTATAAATCGTCAAGTGTTCTACAAATTGATTCATTGTACCGTTAAATATATTACACGTGTAGCATTCTTTTTTTTCCATTGGTCATTACAATCAAGTGATTCAAAGGGTGTACCATGTTACTGAAGCCTTGTTTCTATTTTTAAAATAATGGACGCTCTGCTTCTTTTCGTATAATATTTATATTTATATATACCATGTATACTACGGTCAATATAAAAAAACTCTATTTCCGATGATAATATACATTTTATATGTAAACTGAAAACAGTTGTATTTCCGTAGATTCGTTTTCGCAGAATTCTATCTACCGAGAAATTCGTAAAAAGAAATATACCATTAAAAAAAGTAAATACAGTTTTTTACCCAACAAAATGCGGGATATAAATACATACAAATTTTTTTCTTCATTTTATGCTAGCCAGGATTTACGATAAAAAGGCTATTCCTTCCTCAATATACAAAATACATTCATAATTTGAAGGTCCACATTTTCTACTATCGGTTGTTTATCCTAATTTGTTTGAAACTGAGAACAATTCAACAATATTTTCAACGATTTTGGTTACCGTTTGATTTTAAATACGTCTAATCTAGCAAAATGTAAAGTATTGATTTTGTTTGCTCATTGTTGGAGGTCGCACGTTATTCACAACTTTGGTACGACAAACCTAAGATAATGGGAAAAATATTTGTTCAATTGTACTTCAATGTTGCGGGGTAAAACATGAGTTTGTGTACTCAACTCTTTTCCCTTAACATTGGAGTGTGGTGTAACTCCAAAACATATGAACAAAATATTAAAATTAATTTGAAAGCGATAAACACTTTCGATCAGAAGTAAGCACAAATTGAAATAATAAAATGACCAAAAAATCGACCTATGAGTAGTCACAATTAGCCAGAGATATATAGTTGTATAGTATGTCAAGTTCAACTTATAAATAAGCCATGTTTTCACAGGTTTACATGTATGTATGTAAAATAATTATGCCTCCAACGGATTTAGTTTAATTACTCCATAGCTTATATGTTTGGAGAATTGAATATTACTCAAGACATTTCAATTCAAAATTGTTTGTTTCATGAAATGTTGGGAGGGATGTCTAAATGTTGTTTGTACATAAACTCACTAAATTCTATAAAAAGTGTTCTTGTTGCTGGTGCTGTAATTGACTTTGCTGTTGATGGTAGCACTGTTGTTGACTTTGCTGTTGATGGTAGAACTGTTGTTGACTTTGCTGTTGATGGTAGCACTGTTGTTGACTTTGCTGTTGTTGGTAGCACTGTTGTTGACTTTGCTGTTGGTGGTAGCACTGTTGTTGACTTTGCTGTTGATGGTTGTACTGTTGTTGACTTTGCTGTTGATGGTTGTACTGTTGTTGACTTTGCTGTTGATGGTTGTACTGTTGTTGATTTTGCTGTTGATGGTAGCACTGTTATTGACTTTGCTGTTGATGGTTGTACTGTTGTTGACTTTGCTGTTGATGGTTGTACTGTTGTTGACTTTGCTGTTGATGGTTGTACTGCTGTTGATTTTGCTGTTGATGGTAGCACTGTTATTGACTTTGCTGTTGATGGTTGTACTGTTGTTGATTTTGCTGTTGGTGGTACCACTGTTGTTGACTTTGCTGTTGATGGTAGCACTGTTGTTGACTTTGCTGTTGGTGGTACCACTGTTGTTGACTTTGCTGTTGGTGGTACCACTGTTGTTGACTTTGCTGTTGATGGTAGCAATGTTATTGACTTTGCTGTTGGTGGTACCACTGTTGTTGACTTTGCTGTTGGTGGTACCACTGTTGTTGACTTTGATGTTGATGGTAGCAATGTTGTTGACTTTGCTGTTGATGGTAGCAATGTTGTGGACTTTGCTGTTGGTGGTAGCACTGTTGTTGCCTTTGCTGTTGATGGTAGCACTGTTGTTGACTTTGCTGTTGATAGTAGCACTGTAGTTGACGTAGCTGTTGGTGGTACCACTGTTGTTGACTTTGCTGTTGATGGTAGCACTGTTGTTGACTTTGCTGTTGATGGTAGCACTGTTGTTGACTTTGCTGTTGATGGTATCACTGTTGTTGACTTTACTGTTGATTGCAGCACCGTTGATTTAGTGACTGGTCCCTTGGTTGTCACATTTGGAGTGGTTTGAGCTATTGTACAACATAAAAACTGAAACGAAATAATCATATCAATTTTAGAAATGAACAGATATATTTAAAAACGTCCGTACTTTAAAACCGTGCGAAAGCCACTTATCTGTATTAAAAAGAAAATAACTCTTACGTAAAATTTTAAACTATGTTTCCGGAATACAAGGTCAACAATGTTTCAACCAGACTTATAATAAAGATTGATATCAAAATGTCTTGAATTAAACAAAATGCTTCAAAAAGTTATGCTTTTCAGCATTTCTCAACATATTAAAATGAATAGTATTGCGAAATTCATTTAGTGCATTAAAATATACCTTAATATCTTTTTACGTAGAAAAAACAATAGAGCTCCTTACCAGAGATAAGATAAAAGTTGTTGATGCTACCATGATTTTGTTAGAAATCCCTGTTTCTGATATCTGAAATTAAAGTGGTTGATTATTTATAGGAACTAGCATGTCAATAAACCTTGAAAACAGGTTCTGTTTTAGGCAGTTGAAATGTTTTGACCATGTGATTATAATGAAACGTTGTAGAAGATTTTGTTTCAAGGAAAGGGTTCCTTCTACTTAATCATATGTACTTAAAGTGTGTTACAGGCACACAGATACATGAAGTGGCTGATGCAACAGGCGTTTGTTAATCATCGTGTTGGTCATCATTTTGTCAAAATATAAAAAAAAAGTACAAATCGAATAGAGTACAAACCACTATCAGTGAACTCGTATCAGAAAATTGATTGATTGATTGATTGGTGTTTAACGCCACTTTGAACACTATTGTGCTATTTTGTGGCGGTCATTTTTAATTGATGGAGGAAACAGGAGTGCCCGGAGAGAACTATTTATCTAAAAAAAGATGCATTTGCTTTAGTAGGTAATCGCTAAGCCATTAACTTTAAAATACAGAACGGAGATTTGGTATGATAGCCAATGAAACAAATATTCATCACATACCAAAGCAACGAGCGTAGATGTAAAAAGCTATAAGTAACCATCGACTCCGTCAAATGACCTGATGTTAACATAAACATAATAAAATATAGATACCCTGGCAAGCACTTGCAATCAAATAATAACGTTTTTTCTATGTCTGTTTGATTTCATGCCATAGATTAAAAAATATGTAAATCATCGTTTTACCTTATTTGAATCACTTTTGTAGGCAGAACCAGTAAACGAAAAGGATTTTCCCATTGGCTGCCTTGGCTCACTTTTCAATGCTTACCCTATGCGTAACTCATCATTGTGAAGGGTTAAAATAAAGTTTGCATGAATTTGGACTAACATGAGTTGAATTATTGACTTGCAAGTCAATAATAAATTATCGATGTTTTTGAGTATGTTTTTTCACAGTTTTGCTTTTATAAATATATGGTGCAATAAAAAAAAGTTATATTTTGATTTGTTGTCAACCACGTAGCTAATGAAACATTATTGTAAATTTGTATGCAATCGATTGATTTTAGATTTTAATTGTTTATACATATGGGATCGGTATTCATTTATATTCACAACGTTTCTATTAATCCATGAATCTCTCGAATGAACACAAGGAAATTGTGTTAATTTCATGTGCCATCAATACTTGCAAATATCCCTTATACTTTTTTTTTTATTCTAAAAAGCTTAAATATGGTTAATAAAACACTATTCTAATTTTCAATGAAACGATATTTCGAATCTGACAAGATCATACTTACAAAAAAAGGCGTAAGACATGCAATGCTATGCTATTTTCATAGTCTTTCAGTGTAACAATTATGATAAACATCTGTGTAAGTATAAAAGACTGAAGATACAATACTGACAATAAAAATTCATAAGTCGAAGAGGGACCGACAAAACCAAGGTGTATAACGAAAAACGACGAAAAGGCATATAAGTCTACACAACATTTCATATATATATATATCATGTATATAACTAAAAACTGTGAAACACCCCCTCCCCCCCCCCCCCCCCCTAAAAAAAACAAAATAAACTGGAGTGCTCGAAGGTGCCCCTGATTTATTCTTCCAAGTTAATTTACTGTTTTGAAATAAAATTAATTACTATAAACTATAAAATAGAAATTTCACATTTGATTTCCTGTATTTGCATTACGGTAAGTTTCTTAGTTCACTTGAAGTCTTACAGTGCCAATACAGAAACGGTCATTTAAAAACTCTATAAAATATCAATAAAATGGTGGCTAAATATTATAATTAATTATTTTTTTAAGTTAAATTTCAAATATTTTAATATTAAAAATTTTCAACTATCTCGAGGGGGATGTTTTGGTAGAGGTAGAATATATGATTATCTTTTAGTTTGACGAAATGGAAACACAAATTGTCATATGTGTTTCGATATATTGTTTTGTTATAAATTAGGCCGTTAGTTTTCTCAATTGAATTGTTTCATATTTTTCATGTCGGGGCAATTTATAACCGACTATATGGTATGAATGTTTCTCATTGCTGAAGGCCGTACGGTTGCCTATAATAGATCACATCCACTTCATTTGAAATTTTTTGGCACATCGTAAATATAATTATGAACTCCGAAATTGATTAGACCATTTCAATGTTTAGGTTCGATCGCAACTGATATTTCGTTTGGAAACGAAACGCGCGTTGTAGAACTAAATTGTAGGCCTGGTATCTTTGATTTGATATTCATGAAATATAAATATGGTCTGTGGTTAAGTTAAAAGACAGCAGTCAACAAACCAACTTGAAGTTAGTTTACCTAGATATTGGATAAAATGGTTTTATTGTGTTAAGATTTTTCACAATAACCTAAAACAATGCACACAAACCTTAAGAAATAGTGATATATATTTTCAAAAAAATGTCTTAAACAAATATCTCATTATCAATTGATATTGCTTATGAATTGTGAAGTTAAATGCTTCTTATAATTTTCATAATTAGCTGACGACATGCAACTAAGTTAAACGGAACCTAAATACCGTTATGTGTGCCAACCCATTGATACTTCAAAGATTCATACATGATGGGTTAAAAAATGAGAAGATTTGCTATGATTGCCAATCCGACTGAAACTAAAACGACAAAGATTTAAACAACCATATACAATAGGTCACCGCATGTACTTCACGATTCACGATGGGCAAAATCATATGATATAGAGTTCTATAAAATTCCCCTACATGACAAAAAATATATAGTCATTAGAAGGGCAAAACGGTTTCTTTATAGTGCATTCCCCTCTCTATTGAATTAATAAAAGCAACATTAAAATCAAACAAATGAATTTAGGAAAATAAAAATATAAAAGTAAAGATTACATACATATAAATCCGAAGTCATTATAAATTGGGATTGATACATTATAATAAATCCAATGTAAATCTATCCATTGTCAATTGCCTTCATGGTTAAGAATAATTTTAACGACTCCTTGGTGTTTGACTTTATACAGGATAATTTGAACAATTGAACAATTGTATGAATAATAATTTTGACACCGACGGTAAAAATATTCCTATTCTATACGGTAAAACCTTATTGATTTATTGTAAACTTATTCTATTGAATAAGTAGAACGGTTTAGAATCAGTATAGCTAAGTCAAACCTGTATATAAAAGTCTGATTCTGGACTGGAGAAACTTGACCGTATAAGAGAGGAGATCCTTGATGATGCGAGGTTCAAAATGAATAGGGTATATAATTAGAGCGGGACAAGAGGAGGCTTGATTATAAACCATTCTTTCATGTAAATTACATTCAAAAAATAAAAATAACTGTTCTTAACTTTTAATTATCTGCGGACTGTGGTTACATGTATATGTCAAAGATCCAAACTTTAATTGCTGAATAAATAGCATTGCTTTTAAAGTGACAGAAGTACTACGTTGTTTTATTAACTTGTAATTATTAAAATTTTGCATAATTACTTACATCATGGATGTACGGAGAGATACAGATATTTATCAACTTAATGGAAATGTTATTGAAATATGAAACATATATCAGTGCCGTTTAAACTTTTGAAATACTAACTGAATTAACTTTCACGTACGTTGAGAATCGTTTGTTTTATTATTTTTTGCTGCATATTAATTAGCACATTCTCGTTCTTACATTGTAATCTTCTTAATAACCTATTGTAGCTTTCTGGCATGTTGCTTCGCTAAATAGCTAGAAAAAAAACCCCGCTTTTATTTAAAGTCGAGACTTTTCCAAAAATATTGTTAGAGAGCTTGAGCTTTTAATCAAAATTTTCTTTTATTCTGTCTCTGCACGCTTTAAGCACAATTCTCTTATACATGTATCATAAAACATACAAGAAAAAATACGAATATTTTTTGTGACACGTATATACGTCTAAACCTACCTTTTCTTAATAAAATGTTAAACTAAGTTCGAATGAAAGAAAAACAAAAGCAATCCAACCTACTATCCGACATATACTGATAAAAAAAAACGTATATGATTGCTATTAACTGTTAACTAATACGCACTAGCTTCCCGGAAAAATATCCCAACCACGCCAAGAACACAACTAGACTAGTATTTCTTAAGAAGAAACGTAGTTTGGATATTTAAATACTAGAGATTAAAAGAGGCGGTCACTTCTGTGACGAACAATTCATAGCTTTTTCCCACCCTTAATTCCTGATAACGGAAATTATTACGATTCTTCAAATAATTGAAACCAAAATTACTTAATCACTGGATTTTGTGACATTTGTTTATTTGATTTACAAGGTTGATATTAACAGGTAAACTAAGACACAGATACGAACTACTGATTAAACTAAAGCTTTCAGTAAAATTGCCAAACTTAAATCTTAACTGTCCATGAAAGCAGGTGGTCCAAAATAGTAAGTAAAAAATAATAAAATATGATAATAAAAAAGCCAAGGTGTACCAGTTAAAATATTTAGTTTTACAGTTGTTTGTCATGAAGATAAAACAGCTATTGATATTAGTTTCGTGTAAATAGGAAATGCGAATATAATATAAATACCCCCCCCCCCCCCCCAAAAAAAAAAAGAAGAAAAAAAAAACAAAAAACAAAACAAAAAACAAAAAAAAAACAAAGAATAAAAAACAAAAATCCAATCGTCCTATAAGGGTTTACGTTTCACACTATAAATATTAATTTAAACAAGCGCCTCAATCGTATCGTTAGCAATTACATATGGACTGTAGTGTATACTTATTTACTTAATTATTATACTTATAAAAGATCAATGAAGAAAAAAAACCCACCATTGATGAAATTATACCACCGCATTAAGCTAAATCGGTCTTTTTACAAAGCAATACTTTGGTCAATAAAATGTCTTAATTTGTGTTTTATATTTTTATAGCAGAGAGAATATTCGAGCAACAGAATTAACAAATTAAATCGTCTATCGAGGAGTTGGAAGACA